TTAAAATGCTTTCATAGGGTTATTTTTTATTTATTTATTTACTTTTTTATTAAATTTATGTTGTTTACACTATTATTTATTCCTTAAATTATATGTAAAAAAAAAACTGATTTTTCAATGATACACAAGAATTGTTTTTTTTTTTTGTTAAAACAACAAAACTAAGAGAACTATATATCTGAGATCAAAGTGGTGAACAAAATGAACTGATGGAAGCTCAATCATTCAAACACAAATTAGGTAAGGTTTATACTTTATATAGTTTGAAAATTGATATTCTTCTGCTAATTTTAGTTGGAGAGATGGGACAAAATACACAGTAACATTATAGTATAAAATTTGAAGCATAATATATATATATATATATATATATATTTATGTCTAAATAATATTGTGGTCCATCCTCTTTTTGCAAGAATGAAATTAACATATGAATTATTTTTGGTTAATGAGAGGTTAGTACAGACCCACACTATTTAATCTGAGAACTTTCAACGTTCTCATGGAAGTGGTCCCACATCCGTAAATGCATATAAATAAAGTTTGTTTATTTTATATTGAATTTAAAGAATTGCAGCATTTTATAACTTATAACATTAGATCTTTGGGGACCATAATGCCACAGCCGTGCTCCATAACCATTTATTATTATCTCGTACCAGCCTTTGCCTTCTTTAAGGATGGGGGGACCATATATTTACAAAATTATTGGATGATCCGAAAATTTCAAAATAATTTTTTACAAATAAATAAAAAATATTAGCTTCTGGGGAGAAATTATATGGTATTTTAAAAACAAAATGTTCAAGTTTTCTTGAATAGTGTGAACACGAGAGAATTATTAATTCTGCAATAAACATGCTTCTCGGAACAGACGAAGCGAGGCGAAGCGCATTCAAACTTTAGATCTCACCCTACTCTGTTGGTAGATTAGGGCGATTTCTTCGTCAATGTTGCTAAACAAAAGACAACTTAATTACATCCTATAAGCCTTATTACTTGAGAATCAAAATTCATAGGAGACATGTAGTGATGCGAAAAATATAATATAATCCCCAGATATATATCTTATAGGGAGGAGAGGAAAACAAGAGCAAGAGAGGAACAACCCTTCTAGCTAGCTAGTACAATTAATGCAACCCTTCCCTTCATCATCCCCCTTAATTTCCCTTTCCCAACAGGACTTCTGCAATCTCAAGGCTAGGGACATTATTGGTCTTATACAACCTAAAGCAATTTTTGAGGCTAAATATATAGATGTGCATCAACCTATGCTGAGAAAATTAATGATTTGTGATTTTGATTGACTTTGTTTTCTCTTTTAAGATATGCTAGACAAATTTCCATGGTTGTGGTGGGAGGAGAGAAAGAATCAATCAAGGGATGTTGAAACCTGAAAAGATGTTTGATCTTCCATATCCTTAATTTGGAATCAAATAAAATTTCATGCACTTAATTGTAGTACTGCAACATGCCCAACTTTACAACTAATTAATCCATGTTGTTATTTGTTCAATCTCTTATTGCACTCCCTCACAACTTGATACAAGAATAATGAACCTTTTCCAGTGTTGTTCAAACAATATATATATATGAAGTGCAGTCACTGTTGGGAAATCCTCTCACCCAAAAATTGTCACAAAAAAAAAAAAAAGGTTCATACTTATAGAAACTTGTATATTCAAAATTTCAAGAAAGTGGAGAATTTATTTGACTTTGTTTCTTTTTTTTCTTCTGATTAGTATCCTAACAATCTTAAGATGGCAAACCGAGTTACTACATGAATATTTCCAAAAACATATATTAATCTTTGCTATTTTTTCATAACTTGAAGCACTGACATGGAACAATTACACTTTTTTGGTGCTTTGGATAGAGCTGATCAAATTTAGTGTTTTAGGTTATTTGGAAATGGCTATAAAGATAGTTTGCCCCTATTTTTTTTTTGGGTGTTAATGAGTTTATTCAATACCAATATCCATATTAATATTAGAAAATTCTGAAAAGTAAGGTGTGGGAGTTTGTATTCCTTCTCCCTCAATTTCTTCTTCATTAAATAATAGTAATATTGTGGAAAAAATAAGAATCTTTTAATAATAAAGAGAAAAGAAGTTCCCCATTATGTGGATGTCATTTCTCAAAGACCAACTTCTTGTACCATATATCATAGTTTAATTAACATAGAAAAAAGACATATTCCTAACCCAAATTGCACCCTATTATATATTGAAGGGCTAAAATATGGTCCCAAAATTAAATAACAATTATCCTATCCGTAGGGTAGAGTTTTTAAATTATACATCCAAGAGAAAATGCAGAGGATTGTCACAAATTTTTTATGCTATAATTAAAGAGAATTAGTAAATTAATATAATTGTTAAATTGACATGTGACGACTTTATCGATCAACTTATTGCAAAGTCCAAATATAGAATAATAATCCATTTAAAAACGAAAGTAAAAAATTGGAGTATGTTAGAATTCGAAAATAAAAATGATTAAAACTAAATTAATCAAATTAATTAAGAAGGAAAGTTCAGCTGCAAAAGAAAAAGATGCCCATGTGCTTTACTTTTGTGCATTTCAGGCAAATAAAATTGTTGCATAATTATAATTACATGATGTGCTGTCTTTCCTTTCCCTAAAAGAATATGATATATTGAGTATCACCTTTTAATTTGTCTATGTCGTCTGCAACGTGATGCCAATATTAATTCAGACAAACTCAAGTTTGATTATTATACAATAAGAATTTTTAATCCTACAATGTTTTTCTTTTTTGCTTTATCCTCCTTAATTAATTATTCTACATATTTCCTTACTTTCCATTTTCATTTTACTTTTTTCCCTGTAGCATCTCCAGGTGACAAGCCTGTCATATGCTTACCAACAGGACAAACAGGCAGTGAAAAAAAATTAAACTCTAAATCTGGCAGCTTTCTTCATAGCTCAAAGGACAAAAGAAATTAAATCCCTGTGGGGATTTTAATGTTTTTATTTAGGTAATTTTTCTTTTTGGGATGAGAAAGTAGGTGGCTTGAAAATTATATTACATCGTCACGTCACTTTGACATTAAATTGCGGCTTTAAGCAAAATAATACTAGTAATTTTCAATATTCTTTCATTGTACCTAAATTTGATAATTTGTATTTTTATATTTTAAATATATTAGATATGATTAAAAATAAAATATATTAAAATTAAATACGAATACGAAATGAATCATATTTGTATCTTAAATTTGAAATATATACACGTAAATGTTTAATAACTGTATAACACGATATAACACAATTAATACGATTGTTAAATGTATCAATATATGATACAATATAATTAATAACACGTTTACCATATTTAATATCATTAAATAAAACTATTTATAATTAAATATAATTTTATTATTTAAATTTAAAATTAATAATTATAAAAACAATTATAATAAAACAAAGTAATAATAACATTAAATTTAATAAAATAAAAATTCAAAATTAGGGTTTGGGCAAGGCATAATTACATTATTAGCTATATAAAATTTAAAAAACTTGTTAAAATAGGTTCAAATAGTTTTTGACTATTAATTTTTAACAAATTGATAAATGTGTCACGTATACATGTTTAAATATGAATAAATATATTTATATATTTAAATACGATTAAACATAATAATATGATTAATTAAATTTATTTAAATATATTATTCATATATGACACGTTACATATTAAACATGATTAGATATGAAACATATTAAAACTAAATCTAAATTTATTTAACTTCGTATCTTTTAATGTTATGTTCAAAATTACCAGATTTAATTGCATCACAAAAAACTTGAAATTCATTTTCTCCTCCATATATATATATATATATATATATCACTTCAATTAGTTTAGGTAATGAAAACATCTGCCCACTAAATTGATGACAGATGTGTCCGTTGCCTATACGCATGTACTTACTGCTGAAATGGTGATGGTACCCGTACCATGTCCTAATGGAAGTGAGGATGTGCTTCTGTTAGGCAAGTGAGCATTTGGTTTTTTTCTCTTATATCGTTGTCCCCTTTTGTCTAATATTATATTGTCAATTAGTAAAATTTTAACACCCCACCCCCTCCCCCAAAAAAAACCAAACAAAAAATTAAAATAAATAAATAAAAAAAAAGGTCTCATGACAAGCAGCATTTGGTGAATGGGAATTAAATCTCAGATATCAGGAATTATATGAAAGTTTATAGTATTTTTCAACTTTGAATAGAAAAGATGAAAGAAAAAGCTGACATCTTTTGTCACAGGAGTGCCTATGGCTATGGCCTATGGGAGTTTTACTTTTAAGGACGCGCTGTGCTCTATACAAGGAAGGAAGCATCTTCGGGCCGGCTTGGACTGGGGAATGGGAATAGGATATGCCTTTTTTTTTTTTCTTTCTTTTACCTAAATATATGAATGATTTATTATTCTTATTATATAGTCAGCAAAAGCTTAATTGTTTCTCTGTTGGGCCAAACAGTGGACTTAACAAAGTTTTTGTGGTCAGCCCAAAACTAATTTAAGGGGGCATTATCTGTTCTTTCTCGGGTCAGATCTTGTTACTTTAGACAGCACAATTCAGAGATGTTTAGCTACTTCTTCCTAGCAATTAGGACAGCTAGACTAGGATAACCTCAATTTGCATCGCCATAATCCACAAGAAATTAATAAAAGGGGTTCTCATCTTCAATGTTATGAATACACCAGTCTTGGTAAAATAAGACACTGCTTTGTAAAACGTTTACTAAATTCTTCAAAACTGATGATGTTGGATCCTTATCAAGGTCCCCATGCATTGACCTGTCTATAATGGATGACTAACAAGTGTAGGTAAGCAACCATATGCCCTGGAAGATTTTTCTTGGGACTGTAACTTTAAGCTATATCACCTACAAGTTCTTGCCAGACATAAATACGCCCGACAAATCGTACCAGTGTAGTAAGTACTTAACCAGTGACACCAGAAATATTTATAAAAGAAAGATCAAAGCAAGGAAGGACTACTAATAAAAGTCTGTCATGTCTTCCAATATCATATAAACTGGTAACATGGCTTTTGTCTGTGGCACAAGGTTTCATTGTCTCACCAAATTCAGTCACTGCTGTTTTTATGTCATTGCAGGTTATGCATGCTCTTGAAACCATTTACACATTGCCAACATCAAGAAGCATTTACCTAGTAGGTAGCTACTAGTTTATGACCATTAACCATATTGTGCAAGCAAAAATTTAAAGCATCCATCCGGGGATAAACCCATTGACTTGCTGGGCATGAGTTGTAGCAGCTATCTGGTCTGAAGCAACAGGATTGTACCTTCACCAGGAAACAAATCAAACAGATGAAAATTAGCACAGACAAGGTAGTTACCTATGAGAAGGGTCAAAGGATTTTAAGGACTTGAAAGCCTACCCTATCTGCAAAGTAGGATTGCATTCCAAAGGCTGAAATAACCCCTGAGATTGAGCCTGCTGGTTACTGTATGAAACACTTTGCTCACCACCTTCCCATGATGCTCGAAACTGGTTTCTTGCACTGATTTCATCAAGCTGCCAAATACACACACACAAAAAAAAAGGAAGCAACTCACAATAATCTCAAACATATGAGAAAACTACTGGGAACGGCAGAAGGCCAGCAGAGCTTGATATCTTAATAAGTGTCAAAACTCAGTCATTACATTATCATAACATATAAAACTTCACATTTTCGAAACCTATGGGGAATTAAGTAGCAAACCTTCAATAAAATGCTATATTTTCCCTAGATAAACTAGCAATTTGCCCGTGGAATATAAATTTCGAGGTTTGTTAGTCTCATAAGAAGGCAAGTAATTAAAAGCTTGTGATTGACTCCTCTGAATGCTTGCCAAGGCTCACTTGTATGTTACAAATTCAGCTAGAGTAGACTTATAAATTTTTTGAAATGAGGGTGGACATACAACAATTTGAGCAATTTCGGGCTTGTAACTTTTCAATCTGCTTACATTCAGATGTTATGTGTTGTTTGTCCTTTCCATAGATGACAAATACTTTCAGGTTCAAACATAAAGTACTTATGATCTTACAAACTTGTTTTCTTTACATTTCCTCTGAACATCAACTAAATCTTACTTTAAAATTAGGCTTGACTTTGAACTCTGAAGTTCGGGTTCAAGTTTGTCTAAAGCTGTATAAGATAAGTCAAATTAAGTTCATTCACCCCGCATCCCAAACAATGAACAGAAAACACTCAAATAGTCCAAGTTGATGAACAACAAGCTGTATGCCTTACATGATATCTAGTTACTTTTATAATTAATGATATGATTTTACCTTAATTGACAAAGCCCTGTTAGCTTCCATCAACATTTGTTCCTGTATTTAAAGCCGGTAGCCTGTTAGTATTTTAGAAGACAAAAAAGGTTTAGCAGTAATTGTTTTTTTCTCCAAAATTGAGATACCTTATTCTGAAGATCAGAAAGCTGGTCAAGCAAATATTGGGTCTGAAAAGGACATTGAAATAAGTGTTAGAATATAAAATGTAAAAACTTTATATTTGGAGCAAAGAGGGGAGGGACTGAAGATATGCTGAAAGAGTTGCAATGACAAGTTATTCATACCATTAAATTACTACATAATATTGCACAAGGTATAATTAATTTTTTCATGGAAGACAGTGCCTATAGACCAGTGTACTGATCTATGCTATCTTCTTCACAAGGAAAGAATGGTTGAGTTATGATTTTGCAACAATTATTATATGATAGACCTAGCTGCTAAATGTCATGCTCTTGTGGAAGCTACTAATTGATCCATCTAGTTGGATCATCTAAATAAGTACATGACAGCAATAACTAATAACAAGCATGGGGCTGCAAGCTTGTACGTTTGCTATGTAGCTGGGAAAGAGGGAAAGCTAAGTGTGGACTATCAATTATATAAAATTGAAAATGGACACCCCACATAAAAAAGAAAAAGGTGTCAAACTGACCAAAAGAAATAGCCTACTTTTACCTGTTATAATTTTAACTATCAATAAATTAGAACTTTTGGCTGAGTAAAAAAGATACAAAGAAATTAGTTTCAGGTAAGATGTCATTATATTGTTTTCTCTTGATTCCTATTATTAGCCCTTTCCTTAGATCTTTAAGCAGAGGTAGTCATAACGCTAGTTCTACAGGTTAACAGATTGTAATTTAAATAGAAAACGGATGAAGAGACTCTTATTAATAAAGATGGACCTTTGTCGCAAAGTGCAGATAACTTGTAAGAAAGAAACCTGATTTGAACTGAGTTCATGGAATCTAATTGGAACATAAATATAGCTGAAAAAGCTAAATTAAAATGTTGAGAATAATTGGCTTGTTAAGCCTCAAGCCCTAAACTAAATCACACATGGCAGACTTGTAAGTTGCAAGCTCAAGAAACTTAAATAAAAAAGACCAAATATAAAGCAATTTTATATTCCTATTACATCTTGAAGTTTTCCCTTCAACCACCAAGTTTCATCTACTCCTAGACTACCTACAAATGCAGAACATAACCTACACCTTGTCATTGCAATGAGAGAAAAAGAAAGGGGGGTGGGGGGGGGGGGGGGTGTTGATGTTGACAAACAGGTAATTATGGATGATGTAGATTTAGTTACCTTATGGAGCGGACATGTTTCAAGGATGTTTCTAGTTGACGCTCAAGCTGCTCAAGCTCCTTTGAGTTTAAGGGGCCCAAGTCTTCACCAAGAAGATTTCTGTTGAACCAAGGCTCACATAACAATTGCTTATGTTAAAAAATATAGAGCAGGAATAAGTACAATCCTTGAGTAATTGCCCAATTCTCCCCAACCTTACTAGAAAAACACTTGAAAACACAAAGATAAAGGCAAAAATAGCCTATGAAATGAATCTAAAAATCCAAAGCTAGGTACAGTTGTTAGACTAATTACCGCTGAGTTCGTTGCAGGGCCTCATATCTAGCTTTCAGTTTTAGATACTCCGCATAGCTGCTCTGTTACAGCCAAGAATAACGTATGAGAAACTATAAAGTCATCATCTAAGGGACCAGATACCAAAAACTTACAATTTTAAGATTATTAAAATAACACAAGGAATTTGTCATGTCACAAATCTAGCAAATAGTTTATGAACATATAATATACCCAGATCTCAAATTCAATTACTGCATTGCGCTATAACAAAGTTATTGCGATCTCACCTCAAGCTCCTTGGCTGGCTTGCTAACTTCCACTGCACCATAACTGCATTTCTGATATCTTTCAAGTGTCTTGAGCATGCTGGGGTGAAGGCAAGTGGAAAGAAATTTATCATGATGCTAAATTTGAACATAGAATTATGAATTTTTTGCATTGAAATGTTCAAGTCAACGTACATAGAGAGCTAGTTAGTGTTATATCTTGGATAATAATCATTTTCTTTTGTTTGGTATTTTATATGAATGATCACGAATGATATACTATGTAAAGTTAACATATAGCATACAAAGAAGTACAATTTCAACAGATTTCCACTTCTCTATTAAGGTGATGGTAATAAATAGTAACATATTTGAAGCAATTAATTAAGTAGGTGCTTGGCTAAGAAGACATGAGGTTATATTGGAAGATTCATTCCAATGATAAAGAGACTCTAGACTATATGCAAGCGCGAGTATAATTTTATGCATGCATGTGACATTGTCAAAATTACTTGCCACGCCCCATATTTATCACAGGTTTCTCAATTATCCAATGCTTTATTGTAAGCGTACAACTTGTTTAACGCAAAAACTATTCCTACTTTTCTGGAGAAGTTAACAAAAAGAAACATTAACCTAGTAAACAAAATAAATTATTCTGCTTTATTGACATTATGGGGTCTAGAAGTGATAATCAAAAACTCAAGTTGTAAAAAGTAGTAGCCACATGACATTACTGCTAGATCAACAGAAATGCAAATACCAAAACACCAAAAGATGGCAATTATGAATGTTTGCATAAACATGTATCACAAAGCATGAAAGGGCATGCACAGGTACACACATATCCAACTATATGGGAAGAATTAAGGGGAATGTTGTCCAAAGTTTAGTTTTTCCTTTAGCAAGATAATTAGGACAATCATATAAAGTATACCTTTCAATCTTTTGGCTAAAACCTAAAATTCTAAATGGTAACCATGTTTGGGAAGGTATCAAACATAGAGCACACACTATTGCCTTTTGAGCTACTAATATTTGGACTATTTCTCTGAAATTGAATTCCAAGTTAGGCTTATGTAGGTTGGTTCTCTTAGTGGGAATTACTCAGCGAAGTCTTTCTGTATGTTGGTTCTTGAGAGAAGTGGCCCCTATCATGATTTTTGAAAGAAATTTTGGAGGGTCTTCTTTTCTGCTCAACGTTTTGGAGGGGTATTGTCTCACTAAAAGTTGAAATATCCTGCCAGCAAGTTCTTAAAGGTGAAGTAGCAAAGAAATAATAATTAATGAAGAGAAAGCTACTGGATAGTAGCTTGGCCATCTGGTCGCTATGCCAAAAGGAGAGTGAATCTGTAAATAATTTGTTTTGTACATGTCAAGAATCATGGAAGATTTGATCAATGTGGTGTAACATTTGGGGAGTAACATGGATTGCACCATGAGAAGCTTTCCAACAAGTTATGACACATGATGTTTGTTTGCCGTCATTTGATCTATTTGGTTTTGTAGGAATAATTTCACGTTTAACACTAGATGTTTGTATGTTATCCCACTATTTGAGGTCATCAAATTAAAAATTGTTTGTTAGGTAAAAGCTAGATGGTCAGAGCTTAACTAATCGATTATGAATTTATTTAGATATCCTAAAGCTGTAGTCTTGGAAAAATGTAAAAACGATGAGGAATGGAGTTGTGTGGAATTGTCCTACTCTTTACTCTCTCAAATTTAATGTCGATGGAATGACAAGGGATAGTCCAAGGGCTGCTAGAATTGGTAGGGTGTTGCGAGATGAGGTAGATACTATTAAAATTATGTCCTTCAAATTTGTTGAATAGGAGATATGAACCTTCTTAAGTAACTTGCTATTAGAGAAGCTTTCATGATGTTTGCTGCATATAAATAGATAAATTCTTATGATTAATAATTGAAAAAGTAATTTCTCTAATGTCGTGAATCGGGTTTTATGTTTGCCCTAACTAGAAGACCCCATAATTAGTTTGAAAAATTAGTGAATAATTTTTCATCATGAAGTGAAGGAGAAATATGCATGAAGGACTGAAGTCAAGCAAGGCTGCCACAATCACACAACTACTTGTAAAAGCTCTAGTTCATGAATCTTGCCAGTTCCTTTTCGAGTTAGACCTAGTATGCAACTTTCTCTCCTCTTAAGAACTAATCCTTTGCTACTGTCTCTTCTCTCTTATCAAGTTTACTGATAACAGAACATTTTTCTTCATAACTTAGGATCATCTTGAAGTTTATTTCTCCAACTAAACCAAGGCTTTAGTGGCATTAGAATAGTATATTGTTGTCCTAAAGAAGCAGCTGTAGACACTTTGTTAATCATTGAATATAGATGATGTAACATAATTTGATTTTTTATATCAATAAAGTACATAATTAGTATAATGCAGCATTTATTAGAAAATTAACCTCATGACAATGTATAAAACAATGATTGATTCCTTTTCTTTTTGAGTTTAATAAAACCATACCCTAGAAGTTTCTATTTCACTACTAGTGCAGCACAAAAACTGAAAACAAGAAACAAAAATAAAAATTAAAAAAGGAACTCAAGGAATATTTTCACAATACAAATTTCACATCAAATACATATTCATCCACTTACAGCCTTGAGCTACCAAATTTCTGGTATTCCCGAGGCAAATGAAGGAAAATAAGAATTGAAATTAGGCCAATGATTCTATAAGGAATATCTATTGAGAAATTATCCTGTGGACATTTCAAGACATGACACCCTATTGATCAGGGGTAAGGTAACCCTACAGAGGACATGACATTTGTATCCACCAGTGTTACAAAGAAGACTCAAATCTTCTGTGGGAACTGCTAGGATTATAACAATTTAACTAATTTTATAAAGAACAGAATTAGCTACTAATAAAAGAATTTAACTCAATTTACAAAGAATTATCTGAATAATTACAAGGAGCTATTGCTATGATACATATATACTTACTGTTTACATAATTTCTTAAAACTATGCATACTATAGTATTGGATTTTTCACAAGATATCAAACACATATATGTTTAATGATGTAGATCGAGTTATACTACTATGGCAAACCATAAGTTTGAAACCCTTAGCAAGAGGTGACATCTAATTCTTAATATTACAAATATTAATTCCCAAAACCTCGAAACCTCGAGTAAGAAGGACAAACAAGAAAATACTAGTACAACTCCAAAATCTTCACCCTATCAACCTCTGAGTAATAAAATGTAGCCTATAAGAAAAATCATACAGTATAACAAATCCCTAGAAGTAGCAATCAGTGTGGTTAGTAAGAACATCTGGCAATGGCCTTATTTTATGTATTTATTTAGGAAAATATTAGTAATTTTGATAAATGGAACTTGACCCATTGAAAAAAAAAGCCCATAGGAAATTTTCACAAAAAAAAAAAAAAAACAGTGGGGAAGAACCTTCTTTTTTCCCTAGCTCTGCCATGAATAGTATGATAGTTCTACACCAACCTGAAAAGTTTCATGCACAGAATATTGCAATGGCAGACTTCAGAATAAATACAGCTCATGAACAAATTATATAGTTCTCTTTGTCTAGATGGGAGAGAATTGGCCAATGGATTAAAGCCATTTCAGCTGAAAAAAGATCTACTGATGTTGTAAACAGTTTCTCTATAAAAAGATTTCAGAAGAAAACCTGGGGAAAAGAGTTTTTAGATATATATATTGATTGGACAAAGATCTGTATTTTGTTGCTTAAGATGAAAAATTGTTGTTTAATCATTAGAAAAACTAACAAAAAAAAAAGGACTAGACAAATAAAATAATTAAAGGTAAACAAGCAAGCAAACAAACAAACAAAATCATAAATCCAACTCAGATCTTAGAGCAAACATAAAAAAAAAAAAAAAGAAACCTAGACTTTGAGCTAAAAAAGAATTACGAAAGAAAAGAGTAAAATATCATATATAAGAATGATCAGAACTTCAAGGCCACAAAAGAACAATAAAAAAAGTAAAAAGTAAGACAATTACAACCTAATGGAAGCTCCTAAAACCCTCATAATGGAAAAAACAAAAGAAGTCCAAGAAGACAACGATCAAATAAATTAAAATAAAAAAATAACCCAAGTTCAAATCAACAGAACAAGCAAAAGAAACAGATCTTCACATGTCAAAACAGCCGGAAAAAAAGGAAAAAAAAAATAAAAAACGTTCACATATCTTCATGAATGAATATATATATATATATATAACCAAAATAAAATAAAAAACAAAGAAAGAGCTAAAAGGTTTGATACCTAGCGCTGCTACAAAACTCATAGAGCTTGCCACGGTTAGAGAAAATGATAAGAGCAACCTCAGCATCGCACAAAACAGACAATTCATAAGCTTTCTTGAGTAACCCATTTCTTCTCTTGGCAAATGTAACTTGCCTGTTTATCTTGTTCTCTATCCTCTTCAACTCCACTCTTCCTCTCCCCATAATCTTCCTCACAGAAAGATTTAAAACCCTTTTTTTTTTTCCTTACTTACTATATTTATACTAACTACACCTCCACAAGTATCGATTATCAATATATCTCTATGTATGTAATTATTTCTTCTTTTGTTAAATTATGTTTATTTTTTCTTCTTCTTTTTATTTTTTTTTTCTCTCTTTGTTCTTGGGAACCAGCTGCTGGTCGAAGGCTGATCTTTCTTTTGCTAAGTCAGGGACTCATGTCCCCAAATGTAACCAAATTTGTGAAAAACAAAGAAAAAAGTTGGATTCTTTGCACCCCTCAACAGAAAAATATAAAAAGAAGAAAGAAGAAAAACAAAAAGAGAGAGAAAGAGAGAGAAAATTCCTTGAAAAATCTGGTTCCTTGTAAGTTTGGTTCTTCTCTACTTTCAGCTTTCTAACCTCAAGGTTTTAAATGTCATCAAAAATAAAATATAAATGTTTTTTTCTCTTTTTATTTTTTATTATTATTTTTTCTGGTCTTTAGGGTTGTTGCTTCTTTCTAGTTTCATACTATAAACTTGGAAAAATTTTACTGTTCCACTTTTGAGTAAAAGTTTTTCCCGCATCTCAGTTTCAGAGCGTGGAGTGCACCTTCTATAAATTATTTGTGCATTATTGTGCCGAAAGCCAAGATAGGATAGAATCTTGGGAGGTGTGAGCACGCTCGACGTCAGAGCGTGGTTAAAAAGTTCCTTTGTTTTAATCGAACTTTTGTATATCGATTCTAGTTGTCTTCAGAATTCATCAGAACGTCGTCACCTACCTTAAAATGGATCCACACGTGTCCGTTTTTCATTGGTTTAAATTTTTTATCTTTGCAAAATTCTTTTTTCCCCTCATTTTATTTTTCTTTACCTTTCTGTCCCTACTAAGGGGATAAAATTACAAAATAAGTAGGCAAACAGGAATATCTAATTGCTTTGATGAGTAATGCATGTTATTGATTTATAGAAAAAGATAACCATCTTTAATTAGTAAAAGAATTGCCATGAAAAACACGGAAAGTTGTTAAACATTGAAAACAGACAATAAAAAGTTTCACGTTGGCATCATCCTTGACAATTAAATTTTAAGAAAAATTATATAAAGAATTTCTCCACCTTTTTCATTAAAATGTGAATGAGGTTAAGTCTAATTAAAATTATAAAAAAGACCCTAACATTATACTACTTCTATGGTCACATTAATTACCATATATGTACATCCATAGCATTGATGTTTGAAGGTAAAATTAAACAATAGTTAGTTTCTCTCTCTCTCCCTCTCTCTCTCTTTTCTTTCAATCAAAAAAAAAAAAAAGCAGCAAAAAAAAGAAAACATGAAGAATTAGGATTATCAGTATGTTCTCTTGCCATGTATCCCCATTAATGACAGAGTACAAGCACTTAAATGCTCTTATTCTACAACTATTTTTCTGACTTACATATTCCGAGGGAATGGCAGCTAACCCTTTTGATCCTTTGTCCAACCACTTGTTGTGAACGCAAGGACATGAGAAACTATTGCTTTCACCTCATCTCATATCTTAAAGAACAATTTTTCTTTCAAAATCAGCATATATCCCTCTTGAATATGTGTGTTGACATCACAATATATGTCCTTGACCATCGGTTTATAGTAGTTCCTCTTTTTTATTTTCGTTAAAAATATAATATTCATAAAAAACATTAATATTATTTAGATTTAAAATCACTTATTTCGATAAAGATAACTTGCCAATTGTTAGAATAGTGTGATTGAGCTAAGAGAGGAACTTCCTTAACCTTGTTTTTATGTTAAGTGACTTCACGTTGCTATCAAAAACAGATAAGGGACAACTTATTTAATGGAGGTGCGGAGAATTGTGGCAAGTAAGCGATCCTATTCGTTAGGACAGTCCTTTAGTCATCAAACTTTGGACAAAGCATAATCATAATTAGTTGTCATCCCAGTCCTTAATAATGATTTAGGTTGGGATTTCTAGACAACTTTAGATAAGCATATTGCGGCTGAATTAAAATGACATTAATCAAAGGGATAATCGGATAACCAATTCTCCAAAATATTTTGACTTTGAAAAAACAGCTAGACGGAGTTTGATGTTTTATTAAAAATATGATTATAAAAATGTGATTATTAAAAAAATAACATTACAATGTTTAGTATATTTAAAAAGATATTGATTAAAATCTCCGAAGGAACTCCCTTGATACCAAAAATTCAGACTTAAGTAGCTCATATTTGGTGATCCAAGTATAAGATTCTTTTACTAATTGATTGCCTCTAACAAAAAAAAAATCCAATTTTATTGAGAAAATTTATGCTAATGGATTAAAAGTTTGCAATCCTAAAGATGTTCACCAGGAGATATTGAATCACTTTAGTGAGCAATATAACCAAAGCTTCACCATTAAGTTAAAAGCTTTTGACTATCCCTTCAAAAGAATTGGTAATGATTAGTGCAAGATATTTGACTCTCCACTTGAGGATGAAGAAATATGTGTTATAATTCAAGGTTGTGATGAGAACAAAGCTCTTGATCAAATGGTTTCAATTTTGATTTCTTTAATAAAACTAGTGTTTGTTCAAGGAATGACGTTATGTGCTTCATGAGAGATTTTTACTCTTTGGGATATTTTAACATAAACATTATTACTTCTTTTACTCTAGTGATTACATGTAATAATTGCTCTCAATGTGGACTTATAAGTCTTGCAGGTAGCATTTACAAAATTCTCGTCAACGTTTTAGCCAATCGATTGGCGATGGTCTTACACCTAGTGATTGATTACAACCAATTTTCTTTTGTAAAAGGTAAACAAATTCTTGATTGCTCCTATATTGCAAATGAAGTTATTGATTTTATTAAAAAGAGCTTATCAAGTGGTTTTTTCCTCAAAATGGATTTCGGAAAATCCTTTGATAGTGCGGATTGGAATGTTATTGTTTTCATCATTAAACTTACGGGATTTAGTTACAAATGGCAAGATTGGATTAACCAATGTCCATTTAATGCCATCATTTTTGTCTTGGTTAGTAGTCCCTTATAGCATAGTTTTCTATGAAAAGAGATCTTAGGTAAGTCTGTCCACTTTCTCCATTTTTGTTTCATCTTATGGCTTAATCCTTTAGTATACTTTGCAACAACGCTAATTCCATTGGTATTTTTGAAGGAATACAAATTCGTAGCAACTCTTATCTATTTCTCATCTTCCATTGTAGATGATATGATCATTTTCTACAAATTTGATCTTTAACATCTTAAAGGCACTCAAAGAATTCTAAAGGGTTTCAAAATCATTTTTAGCCTCAAAAACAAATTCTCCAAAAGTTATTTGATGGGAGTTAATATGGACCAACAAATTGTTCAAGATTGAGCAAAATCTATTAAATGCAAGGCAAGAAAGCTTCCCACCAAATACTTAGGCCTCTTTCTTGGTGCTAGCCCTAATTCCATGTCCACTTAAAAGTTACTAATTGACAAACTCAAGTCTAGATTGGTAGAATAACTATCTATCATTTGGAAGAAGGCTCATGCTCAATCAACTTGTTCTTACAAGTTTGCTATTGTACTTCATTTCAATTCTACATAATGCCATCCTCGATTATTAAGGATCTTGAAAAGACCCAACGTAATTTTCTTTGGTCTAGATGTTTTGAAAAATCTAAGATGCACTTGGTCAAATGAAACTTGGTCTATACTATAAAGGATTTTAAGGAACTTGGCATTATTGACTTAAAACTTAAAAACATGACGTTTCTTAATAAATGGTTATGGACTATAGGAATGAAACTAGTTGCTTATGGTAAAGAGTTATCTCTAAAAAGAACCTATTGGACCCATTAAACTGCTGCCTCAACTCTTTTCCCTAACTCTTTCTTAATCTGGAAGCACATTTCCAATCCACCACTTCCATTGTATTAGTTTCACTTCCTTGTTTCCTCAAGTATTCTACTCTCCTTTTAGTGTGGTTCAAATATAAAATTCTGGTTGTATAAGTGGATTAATAATTCAATTCTTGCCTTGTGTTTTCCTTATATTTATGCTCTTGTGTCCATCAAGACTAGTTTTGTTATTAACAATGGTTATTGGATTGGTGATACTTGATCTTGAAAGGTTAAGCTACATACAAGAGTCTTTAATTGAGAATTGCAAAAATGGAATATTTTTAAATAATCATTAATAAATGAAATATTCTGTAAATTAGAAATAAAGTAATAATATTCGTGTGTTTGTGTCGTAAACATTTAATTTAATAAAAATATAAATAAATAAAAATTCTCCAATAATGGAATTTCCAGAAGGTTATAAGTGAACTTTTTTTATTTACTTAAGACCAACCACCAACATCTCAAAGGGCATATGAGTTTCTTACACCACTGATGAGAGGATATCCGTACTATAATGGACAATCATTGTTCAACCAACTTCAGACATAAGAAGCCATCACTAGAATGAACTCTGCTAATCAATTACAATTCCAGATTTGGATGACCCAAGATAAGTTTAAAAAAAGGTATGTTAAGGTAATGGACAATTTGGGAGCATAGAAAAAATTTGACCTCTTAGAGGAACAATTGCGTGCTAGGGAAGGGACAGATGTCTTGATATCCATCGATGCATTAGAACTCAGTCTCATGCTTGGACTAGTTAACTCTTTTAAATTCAAGGTTCTAGACTTTGAAAAATATGATGGAACTAAATGTCTAATAGCACATGTCATAATGTATTGTCGTATAATGGCTGCTCACACTCATAACAATTAATTATTGATCTATTGTTTCTAAGATATTCTTACAAGATCAGCCATCAAATGGTATAATAAGCTGGATAGAAGTCATGTTCATTCATGGAAGGACTTAGCACTAGCAATCGTAGCTCAGTACAAGCATGTCGCAAACATGGCTCTAGATTGCTTGACCTTGTAAAGCATGGAAAAAAAAGCTACTAAAACCTTTAAGAACTATTCTAAAAAATGAAGAGACATCGCCTCACATGTCTAGCTACTATTGATTGAGAATGAAATAGCAGTCATGTTTGTCAATACTTTAAAAACTCCATATTATGAAATATTGATTGAAAATTCCATAAAGAACTTTGCAGACATGGTTTTATTATGGGAGATAATTAAGAATGAGATCAAGATTAGGAAGATTGAAGGAGGAGATTTTGTCAATCTTAACAAATGGAATGTGCCAAGAGAAAGAAGGCGAAGCACAAGTAGTTGTATATGAAGGGCACAAGCAATAAGACACAACCCATATCAACGATATCCCACCTATCAATCTTACTACCCCACTTTAAATAACATCCTTATCAGTGGGTTCGACAACTAACATCCTTGTTCAATGCTCGATCAAATAACCTTGGAAACAATTATAGAGAACCTAGAAGCAATCAATAGAAAATCTTGTTCGATCTTATTCCCATATCTTATACAAACTTGCTTCCTTAAA